TTACTGGCTGTCCTTGACGAAGAGTTGTAGGTTGACCTCGAACACAGTCTTGAGCAGGCCCATGTTGGCACCCTGGTACAGTCCAACTTGGTGTTCCCAGATGTTGACGATGAGGACCTCGCTCGTGGCAAGCGCGAACAGGGCGCTCTTGCGCTCAAAGTCCTGGTCCTCGCCTCGCTCTCTGCCATCCGTACCCTCAACGTCCATGACAAGGATGTTCTCAGCCATGTTGGAGCCGCCCTCCTCGCGCTTGTTCTTGCTCATCCAGATTCCCTTTGTTGTCTGGCGGCGCTCCTGCTCGGACATGACGCCGAACTGGGTGCCGAAGAGGTAGTTGAGCAGCGTCGACTTTCCGGTAGACTGCGAGCCAAAGACGGATATGAGGTGGTAGTTGAAGCCGGCGGGGATAACCTTCTCGATGTTGAGATATGTAGAGACGTTTGTGCTACATGGCGAGAACCCATTAGCCTACTGCCCCTCTGCCCAATTGCCTGCACGCGGAGAAGACATACTTGAACATCTTGTCCTCGTCGATGACCTGGATGCCATGTTCGTAGGCACTTTTGTCGACGTTGTCGCCGACGCCGGCAAAGTGGGCGTTCATCATGAGCGAGGGGGACGTGTGGTGTTTGACGTTGCTGGGACGGCCCTGGCCATTCACTTTGAGGGAATCGTCGGCCATGATTGCTTGGTGTACAGTCCAGCCGAGAGCTGCACGTGGTGCGGGAAGAATAATGGCGTTGTTAGGGGTGAAAGCTGGCCGTTGATGTCACAGGCCGACCGCCTCTGGAGCGTCGACGCCCATTCGCCGCTGCACCCTGGCCCTGATCCTCGCTTAAGCCCAGGCGGTGGTTGCTGCCGTACAGATGACGGTCGCCTGCATCATGCTCTCTGTTTGTATACAGGCTTTGAGACACTCATTCCTGCTGCCTCTCTCACGTGCTGTTGCCCCGAGGACGGCGATCTGAACCATGGTTCAGCGCGGTAGTGGGGATGCACGTTGCGATCGTGGGCAGGAACAAATCAACACGTCTTGGCATCGCTTTCACGGTACTATCACTGGGTCGCTTGACAGGACGTTCCTGAAGATAAACGTGTCCTTAGAACAGGTGCCGATAAGCTACCGAAATCTGGGAGATCGCCGTAAGGATCGCTCTAGATGTCTTCGCTCAACAGCGCGGGCGTTCTAGCAACAGGAATAATTCAACCCCCACTACGCGTGCTATGACACCGCCAACACCATCTCTAGTCTCAGAATTCCCTATGTCCCTTACCACCACTGACCATATCCCCACTGATCTTGCTGATTTCCTCGCTGTTCTTAACCCAGGCTTTCGTCGCATCCTCCCACACCCCGTCCCCAAACTTGTTCTTGCACCACTCCAGCACCTTCTCAGCCTCGCCTCTTATCCTCTTTTCAATACCCTCCCCGTCATCCGTCTTCTCAATCTTCTTCTTGCTTCGAAATTGCTCAACAGCATCGATCAGACTCTTAGGCTCCTCATCGCCATAGACGAATTCAATCAGGGAAGACGAGATGGAAGAGTTGCTGCCAACCTGCTTCGCGACTTCAGCATCCAATTTCTGACCATCTTCTTTGTGTTTGGGTTGATAGCCTTCACATGCGTCTGCGACGTCGCTTATCCAGGCTCTTGCGTTGTTGAAGTCGCCCTCCGCGCGGTGCAAAATACCGTGTAGTAGCATCCCCTCCACAGCTGGCGGAGCCTGCATGTGCCGGACTAGAAAATGTGCAGATTCCAAGTCATGGTTGAGGATGTGTAGCAGTGCTTCGATGGTCGGGTGGACATGTAGGTCTGCGATTGTCGCCGTGAGTTGTGCATCTTGGGCTTTCTTGGGTGGGTGGACGAGATTGGTGCTGGGGATGAGCTTCTGTGATATCAATTCCAGCGTCCGTGACACATCTGATTGACTCATTTCTTCGTTTTGCTTAGTAGGATCGAAGCTGCTGGTGTGAGTGGGACGCGAAGAGATGATTTCTCATTTCTGGCCAAGACGCGATGGCGAAGAGAAGATGTTGTGATCTCGGTAGTAGTCAAACTCAAAGATACCATCACAGAACGGAAAGTCTCACAACATGTATGCACCAGCTAGCTTCGTCGCGAAAGCATGTGACGTGCTTGATGCACCAACTCAGGAGCGCAGACGTCATGATGGACCCTGAGAATCATACAGTCGACACGTGCGGGGTGGGACAGTTTACAAAAAGAAATTTGGTATAGCTCTGACATGTAAACGCGTAATTAGACAGCATTATGGCGTAATCAAATGTTGTAGCATAAGGATGTGGTTTTCGTAGATGCGCTAAACTGCGCTCATATGTACATACAACGCATTAAAACCCAGCTGCCTGAACACAACCTAGTCGTACAGATATAACAGGTAAAAGGTCAGGGTCGTAGAGTATTTTGCGTCCAAACGCCGGGAAATGAGGACGAAGGCCTTGAAAAGACAACGCGGAGGCCGTATCGGATGCGAGTCGGGTGGTTGGAGGTAGGATGGGAGGTATCCGAGGTCGTGATAGGATAATGTGGAACATCAGCTCAACCCACGCTTAAGCCTTGTTCTTGTTCTGCTCTTCCTCCTTTTCGGCCTTCTTCTCCTTCTTGTTAGCAGCATCAGCATGCTGCCTAGCCTTGTGCTCCTTGTCCGCGGCAGCAGCCTTGCGCTCCTTCTCGCGTTGCTCCTCAGCCTCTACCATTTCTGTATCATTAAGTCAGCTAGCTATTCCCACATCCAACTTCACGACTTTGACATACCTCTCCACTGGTCCTCTCCAGCATATCGCTCGTGGTGAATCTTCTTCTCGATAACATGCTTATGCTCGGGATCGTTCGGGTCGATAACCCTAATTGTCTCCCATCTTCCCTGACCCTTGGCCGCGTCTGCACCTTCAATCGCAAAACTGCCTAGCAGCGCTGCCAATGTGCCACCCTGTGCGTACATACGCGCCTGCACTAGCTTTTGTGATCCGCTCAGATATGGGTTGCGGTTGACCATGTGCCATGATCCAGCCATGGAGACGACCCAGAAACCAAAGAGAATCGGGTATCGGTTTTCGGTCGCCCAGGCTTTGGCGCGCTGGAGAGCGGTCTTGTTTTGTTCGTAGAGGGCCTCGCGCTCCTTCTCTCGCTCGACTTGACGCTTCTTCTCGGGTGTGTGTTCGATGTCGTATGCTGCGGAGGCTCGGTCGGCGGCGATGACGGCTGTGGGGTAGCATTGTTAGCAATCGAACACCGGGATTTCGCGATAGAGAGATACGCACCGATGAATGTTCCTGTTGAGGCGACAAGGAAAGCCCGGAAAGGAACTGTGAGCGCTCGGAAGGAGTGGTATCTTCTGCTCGCAGCCATGACACCTGCAGCACCTATCGCCGTACCAATGGCACCACCTATCGAGCCGCCCTTGATTGTGGCACTTGAAGCTGTCAGTACAAAGTTCCCATCGCCGTTAGAGTGCAATACTCACTTGTAATGCGCGGCCTCCTCTTCCTTGGTAAGAACCTTCATCTTGTCTTAGGTAGAAACTGCTCCAATTCAGAATACAGGTGTATGGTGGACAATCGTGTGGATGTGGCGGCTGTCGAGAGTTGTGCGTCAGGTATACGCTTAGTGTCGGGAGTTTGGATGGGTATGTGTATGGAGTCTGAATGGGTATATAAAATATGACGGCGCACGCGGCGACTTATTAAAAGATAACGCAATGCTCAAAACTCATGGTGACGTCGCCGAACTTCCGGCGCCGCTAGACCCACGTTGACATGTGCGGGCAGTGATGAGGTAAGGCCCTTTCGGCAGGCCCTGCCTAGCCCTACGTTCCTCCAGGGCTGGGCCGATTATCGTGCGCTGAGAGATCAGGTCACCGATGCATGATCGAGTGAGTATACCTCGAGGGGACTTCTTTTGCTGTTCGTTTCTTGCAGCTCTACGTTGGATGTAGGAACATTTAACTCGTTTCGGGATGCGCTCCCAGCGAACCATGACTCCCTCCTCAAGATGCTCTGCCTCGCAACAGTTCCATCAGAAATGCATCACCCATGCGCATTCACTACCCTGACACCTACATGCAGGCAGCCGCTAAGTAAGGCTCTGTAAGCTTGTGAGCAATGCATCCCCGGTTTGTTCCTGCTCGGCAAGTTCTCGCGTGTCGCATGCTCTTCGGATTCTGTGCCGAAGCGGCATCTCTTAGTTGCCGCTCGCCGCTCGCACTGTTCGGACTCAGCAGATATGCGGCCAACCTTCCCTCTCCTCTACACGAGGCTATGCAAGTCCCTTAGAACGTGATTCTCGATGAAACAGCTCGAAGTTTTCACCAACCTTGATTATCGTCTTCCCGGCATGTGCAAGCTCTTTCCCGGCCATGCCCGAGTTGCCACCGAAGCCCGTACAAACTCCAGGATTCACCGAGCGGCTCCGCACGTTGACATCCACGACAAGACGGGTAGCAACGTCTGTCTCTTATGTTCACTCATCAGTTCCCATCACTGCGGTAAAGCCACGAACTCTTCCCAACACATCAAAAGCAGTGATACATGCAATAGGTCATCATGTTTCTTATTTCCATCGAAGAATACATACATCCGATGACAGCATTATCGTAACCGTATTACCTCGTGATTAGTCTGCTTCCGAAAGAAGGATAAGTATGTAGGTACAATCCAGTTCATTGTTCACCATATCGTCTTCTCCAGCTTTTGCCTCCATAATCCTACTAAGTATCTCAGGGCCGATGAAAGTGTTGGGATAAACAAGAAAGAACATGTCCGTGATAAGGCGTGTCCAGGAATCGATGCTTTTCCAACTGACTGTAGGAAATGCGTACTTTCGTTTTAAGCCAATGGTCTTCGACAATTTGTTCGACATTGATCTTAGCTTTTGGGCATATCCACGATACCTTCTTCGAGATCGAGCGAGCGGTGCACTGGCTGATAATACCCAACGATACGTATGTGGACAAAGACATGTACACGCGCAAATACGTCTTTAACGGAATGCGCCAAAACTGGGGCGCGGTGCGGGGTTGCCATAGCGGGGAAGCATGCCCGCCGGAGGTCCTGGGCGTGTCGCAAGGGCAGGGTTGCAGCAGAGCATGGCGACGCGAGAGCCGTACTTGGAACCGCGGAGAGAGACCATGTGCTTACGGATGTGGCCGCCAACGAGCTCGCGATGCTGGGTACCACTGTTGGTTAAGACATACTGGATAAGATAGTTGCCGAACTGATCACCAGCAACTTCAACAAGGTTAGCTATCGTCCACGAATCAAGGGTGCTCCAGACTTACTATCAATAAGAGGCATGCGTGGACGGTCGGGGCGAGCTTCGCATACGCGGTCCAGGTACCGGTCCAGGAACTCGTTGCCACCAATCTTCAGGCACTTCTCGATGACCTTGGAAGCATACTGGTCCATGCTGTACTCAGTACTGAAGCGAAGGATGTGATCGATAGCTCGGCTACGATCAGCGGGCGCACCATGCTCGCAAATATGCTGGATGCACCAGTTGCCGAATTGACCGTGGGCGATGACATCGATACTGGCGAGCACCTCGTTGATGCAGGGACGCTAATGCCAGTTAGTAGAATCCGAAAGGATTGATAGCGCCTTCACGTACCTTGTCTTCCTCAAGGCAGTTCTCGAAGATGTTCTGTACGACCAGGCTGCCCGTCTCGCCCAAAGCAACTTCGTGCCACATGCCTCGTAAAGCTTCGTTGACGTAGCGCATGATCTGGGGAGGAGAGTCGCTCCAACGGAGCTCAAAGAGCTTCTGCCAGACGTGGCAAGCGTAACGGTGAATGACAGTCTCTGGGATGCGACGAAGCAGTTCGTGCACCATAGTTGCTTTATACTCTTCCGGGACGCAGTCGAAGGCCTTCTGGATGACATGGCAGCCAAATGCATCCATGCTCAAGGCGAGAGTATTGCCGCGAATGGCTTGGGCGATCGCGATGACTTGATCGTGCGTACCATGCTCAAAGCAACGCTGTACAAGAAAGTTGCCGAAGCGGTTGACCATCAATGCATAAGCTTGGGAGATGATTGCCTCCACAATCTCATACTTCTGTTCCGGTGTGCCTACTTTGAGCTTCTGCTGAAGGAAGATGGAAGCCTGCTGGTCGTTGTTGCAGATGATCTTATCGACGATGTACTTCCAGTTGCAGCTCATGTTTCGGTCCAACAGGCGACGATAGTTCATGGGTTCAACAGGGGGCACGTACTGTGAAGTACCCGCCTCACTCGGAGCCTATGTCTTGTCAGTAAAAGTCGGGGTTCTGCATGCAGTAGTGGTATCTTACCTGAGAGTTCCATGGAGACGGTCCCATGCCATTGGCCACGTTGAACTCGTTCGCATCTGGCGACAATCTGCTGGCCATTGTACCAATCGGAGCCGGGTGGCCTATCGGATACATGGGCGGCATAGCGTACTGATTGTAACTCGGATCGAAGGCCGAACTAGGGCGGCTAGGTGGATTACTCAGTCCATTTCCCATGCCCATGTTCATACCGTTGAAGTTGTTGTTCATGGGGTTAGGCATGCCATTACCCATACCGGCATTGAAGCCGTTGGACATCCCGCTGCTGCGGAAGCTCTGGTCGAGAGGGAAATGAGTGGGCTCGTTCAAGAAGCCATTGCGACGATAGCCTGACTGAGCGGGTTGTGGACGGGCCTGAGGCTGGGGCTGAGGTTGCACCTGGGGCTGGTATGAGTTGCCGAAGCTGTTGTTGCTGGTATAGGCTGGGCGAGCAGGCTCATTGCCCCAACCGTAGTTGCTCCGAGTGGAAGCATTGAATTTGTTCTGCAAGCTGGTGAGAGTCTGCTCAGTGACATCACCCGGGTAGCTATAATCAGCCTCTGACGATTGGCTCAGGTGCTCCATGGTCGACCGGGCCACATGATGGCTATGCATTTCCTGGTTGACGCGGTTGACTTCGTTGCGGGCCTCTTGTAGTTCTAGCTTAAGCTTTTGTAGCTCGCAAGCCTCGACGAGGATGATCGAGCCGTCCAACTCCGTCGATGGGGTAGATGCGAAGTCGTCGGTGGCCGGTGTGATGGGGATCGATCCGTTGGAGGAGCTATACGGGTCGTGCGGAGGGGAGCGTCCATTCAGGCGCTGCAAGAGCGAGTCCATGACGGCTGACTCCTCGTGAGCTCCCATCTTGGGCTTCTGGGTAGGTCAGCTTGGTCGATGTAAGAGGGCGCGACGGTGAGCCTGCTGCAAATGCTGGATTGTACTGACCTTATAGCCGTCGAATGAGTCGTGCTGCAGCAGCATAGGCGCTTGATTGCCCAGGGTAGAAGAACCGAGTGGTCGCTTCATGCCCTGTGTATTGCAAGTCAACGATGAGCCAAACGCACGTTGGAAAGCATATGGGTATTGGTGCAGGCTCATGCTGCCTACCGCCTGACCCAGGACCTCTGGCGAGGTGTCAATCCTGAGATCGCCGGCCTTGGAGAATCGGTTGGGGCCCTTGCGGGGTGTGGGAGACCCGTCGGAAGTTATGTTGAAGCTCATAGTAGCGGAGCTTGGAAGAGTGGGTAGATGACTTAGATCCGAGAGGCTACCGACGTGTCCAGGCTATATGGTGAAGAGTGCGGTTCTGAAGGCGGCTGGAAACAAATCTGGGGTTATTGGGCAAATGGGCAGATAATATGCAGAACAGAGGCTCGGTGCAGCTCGTTTGGCGACGTAAATGGCCAATGTAGATGCAGAAGCGACGAGGAAACAGCTCAAATGTACATAAATCAGTAGGTCGCAGAGGGCGTTGTCGCAAGGAAAGGACGACAGTCGTGGAAAGAAGGAAGAGATCGAGGAGATGGTGAGTAAAGAAAGCGGGAGAAGCGGGGTGGTGACAATAGAAGCTTCCGAAAGAGACAAGGTGAGCGCGAGTAGGTGCCCAGGTGGAAGGCGCGTCGCGTCGGGACGCGTCGCACTCGTCTTCACCTCAACAAACGGAAAGATTATTGTAGAAAGAGGAATCAAGGATACAGTTGTCAAGGACGGTCCGCTCTACGTCTCCACCCGTTGCATTCATGTCAAAGCTGGTATAGCCTTACTCCCACACTGAAAGTTGATGAGACATGGTGAGCCTTTGATATCCGCAGCTACCTACCACCTCTTCGAGCTTGGGCCTGCGCATTGCTTACCCACTTTCTATGACACTGCTGGGAGTGACCTCCCATTCAGAGTCAAAGAAACCCATCGCTAAGACACCCTCAATACCCTTCCATTTTGCGCTCTCACCAAAGACAACGAAATCGGGTTGACCGACGCCTGCCAGCAGAGGAACGATACGGGATGCCTGTCGCAACCCCTCGTCATCAGCACCCCACAATACGAGCTCGAGACGCTCGTCTGGTAGTGGTCGCAAGAACGCCGCACCTCTAGCTTCCTCCTTGTATGTTTGGTCTTGCCCCCGGTAGTCGCGGATGGTAATTCCAAAGTCGCCAAATTGAATCGGGAAGTTGCTTTCACTTTCTTTGAGACTGGCGCCAACAGCCAGAGTGATAACGTTGTTGGTGTATTTGGAAATTGCAGAGTCTGCTGTGGAAGAGACGATGTTGGCGTCTGCTTGGAAGTACTGGTGTAGATTGCGTGAAGTCTGCAGTGCAATGTACGACGAATTGCTAGAGCCTGGGTGCCTGATAGTGAACGGCCCACGGGTGCGAAGAATAGCAGTCATGGAGCCCAGTTGTCGGCCACTCCTTTCAGGCTGCGCAGAATCTGCAGTACGTGAGCCGATGTTCCAGCCTTCGTCCGTCTTGTGAACACGGATAAAAGAGTCCGTGGTCGCTGCTGCCTCTGCCAGGCTCAATTCGTGCCCATCGAGAGTCACAGACCCATCCCAAATGGCAGTATTGAACTCAAGCTCTTTTACATTGGAGGTCTTGATGATGTGTCCCCGAACACCGACCTTGCCATAGCGTCCTGGGTCTTCTAGCTTTTTGACCTGAATACCGTTCTTACTCCCCATGTCTCCAGGGTCGCCGACCATGATAAGAAAATGCTCCATTTTCCGGGGTAAAACATCTGTGTTCATAGCTTGGGTGTAGTAGAAGTCTACCAATGCTGGTGTTGTCATGACCCCGTCAAACCAGTGGTTTGCCCCTGCTACTTCGTTGTAACTAGCTTTGGCTCCTGTGACCCCCGAACTGACTCCTGTACGAGACAGCTGCTCCGCAAGTAGGCGGCCGTTGTAAGCCGGAACGTTGTCGTCAATCTCACCGTGCTGCTGTTGAACAGGAATTCCATGCGCGTTAGGCATGAGCATTTCATGTCGATAATTGTTTAGTGAGGCACTGATGACCGCTGTACGTCCTGGGTCTGCAGGCTGCCACAGATGGTATGGCACGTACACTTGAATACTGGCGTAGCCCGAAACTGGTGCTGCAGCGAGTACTTTATCTGGTCGGTGAGTCAGGGCATACCAAGTACCCTGCCCACCGTTGGAGTGCCCCGAGACTATCCAGCGGTCTGTGTCGATACCGTACCCGGTCCAGTGGTTGTCCGCGATCCAGGTTGGAATCGCAGCTATTGCGGCTTCAACGTCGGCGAAGCCCCAATTATGCCAGTCATCGCCGGACCACGGCGTGACACCTGTTGGGAACAGGACCCATGCACAGAGATCAGAGACGGGATCCAGAGCTCCAGTAACCTGGGCATTTTCCGCTTCAAGACCAGCTCCGTGCAGTTGCAGCAACAAAGGCAGCTTCGATTGTCCCAATGGGCATGTTGCGTTCTTCGCCGGAGGCCGAAGCATAGCATAGGAAGCTATGCCGCCCGGATGGAGATATGTGACCTTGTGAGGCCTGTAGAGATCGATATGATTCAGCTTTTGAGACACATGTAGGGTGTTTTGGCGTGTTCCACCAACGGACTGGTACGTGATGTCGTAATCCAAGGACGAGGCGTTGTTGGTAGAGAGAGATGCTTTAAAGACGAGGGGCCTCGTTTGACCTGAAACAATAGTGATGGGCATGCGGGAGTCTTCGTATGTGTCAGAGTCGTCCTGGTCAGCAGTATCAGTATCTTCGCGTAACAATGACTGAGCGCCCGTTGTCCACCCGGCGAAAGAGACGTGCGAGCTCACATCTGAGGGCTGAATACTCAGGACCTCGATATCCTCTTCCCCAGTGTTTCTCAAGTATACCGATCCAATCGACGAAGCAAGCTTTCCGTCGACCACATCAGACACTAGCATGCCAGGTTTCGCAAGTTCCAGAGACCCTGTGGCCTTTTGCACGTCAACGACAACATCAATGGTAGGCTCCAGAATGCCTCCAAAAGCCCTGACATCGCGAGCTAGGCGAAGATCGATTCTGTGTGAGCCTGGCTTGAGATGAAGAACAGGAGGTGCGTTGCGGTAGCTGTAATAGTCTCCTCCAAAGTAGTGCTGGTCATCCATCCAGTATTCCAGGATGGCGTCCGTATGCAAGATTAGATGTTGAGTCTCATTACCGCCGACGATGAGTTCGCCACGAGCCCAGGCCTGGTATTGAACAGCAGCCCACCCGTATACGACCTTGAGGAAGTCCCAATCAACGTTGGAGTAAGCCACGCTCAAGGAAGCGTTAGCTGATGTAGCATCGTTCAAAGTTCGTACGGCTTGGGTCACGTTCCATGACGCGGTCCCGTTAGTAGGCAATGAGCTTCGAAATGTCGCCTCAGGGTCATATTGGAGATTTCTGAAGCCGCCGTAGTACTCGAGTGGATCGGCACCCCACGTGGCTTCTATATGATGTTGGCATGGTGTTTCCGCGTCACCACGGTCAATGACGTACCTCTTGTTCCAATCTGAAATGGCCCTAAGACGTGCCATGTGTCGTTGAAGGAAATCAAGGAGGCACTCTCCTGGCGGCTCACTAGGTGCAGTGGGGCTACGACCGGGCCATGTTCAGCAGCCTGACCCAATTGCAGCAGGAGGAAGATAGCACAGAATAGGTACGGCAGCGACGGCCGGTTCATCGGAACAGACATACTCGGGGTTGCACGAAGCCTCGACACATGATGAGGAGCGAAAGAGGTGGTTTTGAACAGGAACGTCGTTATCGGTGCAGAAGATCTCTGCCCGACACAGCAGGTGCGGAATGCATGGTAGTTCCCGAAGTCATCAACGGAGCTTGGCTGACGAGGGCTGGTGATTTGCTATCCCTGTCGGCTGCACGACGCCCGGAACGCGTATGTCACTAACCAGACAATTCTCCGCTAATTACGGATCTATTGCGACGCTTGCCTTCAACACCACGCTTCGTGGAATAATCCTTCTCGACGATCCACGGTACCCCACCACCGCTACCGCTGATTGTGCCGCCCTCGTGCTCTTGCGTGTAGCAAAGGAGTGCGCCACTGTTCCGCGCATATAGCACCAAGTCGCCTGCAACATCGCTTCTCCCAACCCCCATGGCGTAACGAATAGTTCTACGACACCCCAACCCCCTTCCATCCCGCAGTCGCCATGACGCCTCCGTTGGCGCGGGACCCGAGTCCCAACGCTACCTTCAAGTTTCCCGCCTTCCAGCCCGATCTGCTCCCCACGCCCGAGGAAGACAACATCTACGGCCTCAGCTCGTCGCGGTCCGCCAGCCCCAGTCATGCAGCGCAGGCAAATGGCGGCACGGTACCAGGGGATAGGTGGCATCCGCGCAAAGAGGCTAGGTTCGGGGGCATGAATGGCTCCTCGTCGGGCTCCTCGAACAGACACGGGCGACAGAAGAGCCTTTCCGAGGCCTTCAGGACAATACGGACGCGAAAGGGCAGTGTCAGCCAGAATGCGCATGAACTCGCCGATGCGCTCAAGGCGCCGCTGTCGCCCAAGCTCATCGTACGTCGCGCCATGCACGTCTCTGCATGGTCCATGGCTAACAGACGCAGGTGCTCTGCGGCGTGTGGTACATGACCTCCATCTTCACCAACATGTCCTCCAAGGCCATCCTGACCGCCCTCCCGAAGCCCATCACCCTCACGACCGTACAATTCGCCTTCGTATCCGGTTGGTGCTTGATAATGGCCATGTTCGCCAGGAAGTTCCCGCGGTTGAAGCAGACGATGCCTTTCCTCAAGTACGGCATTCGCAGCCCATCCAGGGAACTGATTATGGCCACGCTGCCCTTGACGCTCTTCCAGATTGGTGGACACATTCTCAGCGCCGATGCTACGTCGAGGATACCTGTGTCGCTGGTGCACACCATCAAGGGGCTCTCCCCGCTCCTGACGGTCATGGCCTACAGCATCTTCTTCAAGATTCAATACTCGATCCCAACATACCTCTCCCTTATACCACTTACTCTGGGAGTCATACTGGCATGCTCGGCGGATTTCAACGCGAATCTGATCGGCCTGATATCCGCGTTTGCCAGCGCGATCCTCTTCGTCGTACAGAACATTGTCTCCAAGCAGATCTTCAACGACGCCGCAGCCGCTGAGAAAGACGGTCTCCCGCCCAACAAGTTCACCAAGCCAGACAAACTGAACCTCCTCTGCTACTCCTCCGGTCTAGCCTTCCTCTTCACGCTCCCACTCTGGCTCTGGTCCGAAGGATTCACCCTCATCTTCGACTTTCTGCACGACGCCTCCATTGAACTATCAGACCACCCTGAAGCTCTGGACCACGGGCGGCTGATTCTAGAATTCCTGTTCAACGGGACCTTCCATTTTGGGCAAAACATTGTAGCTTTCGTGCTACTATCCATGGTCTCACCCGTCACCTACTCCGTCGCTAGTCTAATCAAGCGCGTCTTCGTCATCGTCTTCGCAGTCGTCTGGTTCGGCAAGCCCATGACCAAAGTCCAAGCCTTCGGCTTCGTCCTCACATTCGTGGGTCTATATCTCTACGACCGCACGCACGACGCCGCCAAAGCAGATAAACGCGCCAAGGCCCTACAGTCCAAGAACAGCGGCTCACTGCTTCCTTTAGCAACGGACGTCAAGTCGCGACCTGTTTTCACGGCTAGTCCGTCGTCCATGCAGGATCCAGGGACGTACTCCATGCCGGGTATTCACGAGTCACGAGATGAGAAGAGACATGATGATTCGGGCAGTTCGAGCTATCGCAGGACTTCTGAGCAGGGCTCGCAGTACTTGCCTCCTGGGACGAAGGCGGAGGATACTTGGCGGCCTAATGACATGAATGGCAGAAGGGGGATAGGCGTTTCATGAGCATTTACGAATCTATTTGTTGTTTTTAGATGAACTCTTGGGTCGAGATCCGAGTGATGTTTTGTCTTGGTGAGTGGCCCGGAAGAGATGCTCGGTACGGTGATGGAGATGCGCAAAGGACCGATCTACGTGCCGAGTGTTACTGGTCAGTGGTCAAGTGCTCGATTTGCCGAAACGACCGACAGAAGATACTAAGCCGTGGATCTACTTCGTCACATGTGACACAACGGCCGCTCCAGGAGTCTGCTGACGCGTCAGCCCATCGTGACATTCCGATTGCACAATTAACGACCATGGTGGCTACGCGAGATAATCTGAACATGAGCTGACATTGCAATCACGCCATACATACAGCCACTATTCGCATTATCGCCTCCAGTCCCGAACCGAACAAAAGAGATGCTTCTCGCAGCATGCAAAACCAAGCAGAGACCCCGACACCTGTAGCCGAACAGACACAAAGCAGACGTAAAGTGAGCGACTTCCTGGACGCCGAGTTTGGGCATTTGCATCATCTCATGTTGTTTCCCGCGTTAAACGTAAGGCACATTTGTATCGTAGTCCTGCTCGCAATATTCGAGCTTTCTCCCTTCGCTGCTCCCGCCAAAAACATGCGTTGTAACCCGGCGCAACCAGTTTGTAGGTGAAGGGTATTTGTGGATTTCGTCGTCGTCTAGCAGCATCCCTTCTTCTGCTCCGCGTCGGCCGACTTGCTGATCTCGAGCACCTTGCGGTCGTTGCCGAGGACTGGGCCGCTGCCTTCGCCTTGGTCGAGGGCTTTGCTTGAGACGATGCGGTAGATTTCTGGGTAGTGTTAGCAGCAGTTCGTACTGGTGACTCGGCGTTGAGGGCACGACGAAAGTGGCGGTGTAAGCACATGTCTATCCAGCCTATGGACTGTGACGCCAAATTTTGCGCCGACCACTGTGTTTACTGCGGGGTATTGTATGGTGAGATGGGCGTACCTGTGAGAATGTTCTGGAAAGCGAGCTCGACGTTGCTGGCGTCCAAGGCGGACGTCTCGATGAAGGAGAGGTTGTTGTCGCCTGGAGAGTGTCAGCTTACGTCGTCTATGAGTGACTATCTGGATAACTGCCAGTGTCATAGAATGGAACACGTACTCGCAAATTGCTTGGCCTCCTCTGTTGGCACTGCCCGCAGATGCCTCAAATCGCTCTTGTTACCGACGAGCATGATGACGATGTTGGAGTCGGCATGGTCGCGCAGCTCCTTCAGCCACCTTGTCACGTTCTCGTATGTCTGGTGCTTGCTGATGTCGTAAACAAGCAGAGCGCCGACAGCGCCACGGTAGTATGCGGAGGTGATGGCGCGGTACCGCTCCTGGCCTGCGGTATCCCAGATCTGGGCCTTGATAGTCTTTGCGTCGACTTGGATGGAGCGGGTAGCGAATTCGACGCCGATGGTCGACTTGGAGTCGAGGTTGAACTCGTTGCGCGTGAATCGACTCAACAGGTTGGATTTACCGACACCTGAGTCTCCGATGAGCACCACTGCGGGGGTTAGCGGGCGACGAGACTGGGACGAGTAAGGCGGGGGGAGAGGCGGTACCCTTGAAGAGGAACTACAGGCACGACGGTCAGTATGCAGAGCCCACAGCTGCTGGCGTACGGGGACTCACGTCATATTCGTCGTTCGCCATTGTTGCGGTAGGCAGGTGGGGAAGAGTGGCAGGCGGGCGGCGGGTGCACGTCTCAGTCGCTAATTCGGCGAGGTTCTCGGGAGCAGGGCCTGGATAGCGTTGGGGTATCAGGGCAAGCAGAAAGGCAGAGTCCGGTCGTCGTGGCGGGTGAAGTGTCCAGGTGCGCTATCTCGCTGCCTCGAGGAGTCGCTGCTCCACCAACAAAGCACCAGCCAGCACTCAGGGCGAACGAGCCCATGCCGCATTAGGTAAGCGAGACGCTACTCTCCGCGCCCTCACCTGCACCCTCACGCCGTTGTTGCTTGCACCACCGCAAACAAGCCGCCTTTCGTCAAATAGCGGCAATAACTCCGCCTCTTCTTATCGCGTGTTGAGCGAGCACAGCGATCGGGCGCGTATCGGAAAATTCGACTTGCGCGTTGTATCAGTATCCTCCCGCTGCTCTCAACCAATCAGGACCTTGCATCCTCATTCATCTCTACGGCTTTCGCCAGAATGTCATCACGCCCTGTCGAAGACAATGAGCAAGTGGCGGGTACTTTTGACGTGGAATGTATCATAGCAGAAAAGTGGCAAAATGAATGGGACGTCGCGCCCTTCGGAAAGGGCATAAAGTACTTGACCAAGTGGGAGGGCTATCCACTTTCCGAGTAAGTCTATGCTGAATGATCGTTGAGCCAAGCTAACCCGCTATGAAGCAGTAAGCATTTAATCTTGTCATTCGCAGTTCTTTGGTTTTGCCTGGAAAACGACCCCGACCTATACTCTCCAAGCGTTTCACAAGGTTGAACATTCATCGCATCTTCCTAACGTTATGTAGGTACTTGGGAACCAGCATCAAATTTTGAAAATGTTAATGATGATGATGTTCCGACGGACCCCGAACCTGCCCCAGGACCCCCAGCTCCCACCGCTCTGGAACTATGGAACCTGAAGAAATCGAAAATGAGCGGGATTGAATTCCGGAAGCTATGCGATCAAAACATAAGCAGATTCGAGGCAGCAGTTCGAGCAGCGGCAGATGAAGGTGTGCCGCCCCTCGAAGTTACACTGGCAGAAAGAGAAGCTGTAGACTCCAGTCAACTCAACAACTTGTTCATCGAAAGTCCCAGAAGACAACCTCCAAGAGCGCGTAAGCCTCCTGTAGTGC